TAGAGATGGATTTCAACTTCTTTCTTCTTTCAATACAATGTTTTATTACAGGTGCTGGTACCTGTTTATCAAGCAAGTGATGGATTTCAACTTCTTTCTTCTTTCAATACAATGTTTTATTACAGGTGCTGGTACCTTTATCAAGTGAGAGATGGATTTCAACTTCTTTCTCCTTTCAATACAATGTTTTATTACAGGTGCTGGTACCTTTATCACGCAAGTGATGGATGTCAACTTCTTTCTTCTTTCAATACAATGTTTTATTACAGGTGCTGGTACCTTTATCAAGCAAGTGATGGATGTCAACTTCTTTCTTCTTCAATGTGATGTCTGGGTACTATAATGTTCCAGTGAAAGGTCAAACTATAAAGCCATTGTTTGCTTAACAAATAAGCACGGAAACGTACATTGAAAGATTACACAAGTTGAAATCTATGTCAGCTCTGTCTTTCTTGATACTACAGGTTATAAAATGCCATTTGAGGAATCAGCATCTCCTCATTATCACCCTGTCAGTTCTGACTTACCTACAGATGGGTCAGGTGGTTGGAGAGGGAACTATCAATATGCTGCTAAGAGGTATACACAAGATTGATACGTCTGTTAAAGATGCTGTGTCAATGTTAAGAGGGATAAAGTCACTTACGAGAATAAAATTACCTGTCAGATAGTGAGAAGGAGACAGAAGAGTTAAGTCAACTAGCAGAAGGACGATAACAGCTCTGACAGGGTGATAGGCAACAGCAGCTCATGAGAGGGGTACTCACTTTATATCATCAACAGATTACAGTCTGCATGTCGGGTATCAAACAGTGAAATATGAATTAACAAGAAAACAGCATTATCACTATCACCCGCCATGGCACACATTAGAACTTTGTTTGTTCATATAGTAGTGAATATTAGCTGTAAAAAAGAGTCCTATAAAGCCTTAAAAAGAGATAGCCACTTCGGCCACTTTATGACATCAGAAAAAAATATTAAATGTGAAATTAATACACTCAAAAGGCCTCTTCTCTGGAAAAAATAACTCAGTCTTGATAAGTATCTCTTAGAAAAGCTAACTTCAGTAGTTTGTGAGAAAACCTGTTCACATTGCAGACACTATGCACCAAGTAATCTAACATGGATCAAGGGCTGTAACTCTGTAAAAAATAAATGATGGGACCAATTTGCGAACTCAGTCTTGACAAGTATCTCTTAGATAAGCATGCAAACTTTTCATTCAAGTAACTTCAGTAGTTTCTGAGTAAACCTGTTCCCATTGCCCACACAATGCACAAAGTTGAAAAGCATGGATCAAGGGCCATAAGTTATGGCCCATAACTCTCTAAAACAATATTTGACAGGACCAAATTTCAAACTCAATCTTAACAAGTATCTTTTAAATAAGCATGCAAACTGTCCTTCATGTAACTTCAGTTGTTTCTGAGAAAACTGGTCCTCATTTCAGGCAGTATGAAAAGCACTGAGCAAGGGCCATAACTCTGTAAAACATTAATTAGCAACACCAATTTTGTCACCTCATTTGAGATCATGACCAGGAACATTAGTGTGTAAAATTTCATTTCTCTGACTTATATAGTTTTGTCCCCATAGAGAAGTAGAAGACGGAAGGATAGACGGATGGACACCATTCCTTCGTCCCCTGCCCCACTTGGATGTGATAATGATTCCACATGGGTTAAACAGAAGCAATCACAGCTGAGACAAGTATTACACTGTGGAACAATGTACAGACCAGTACACACATCTGGGGTTAATGCCAAGGTGTATGATCTATGCTGAAGTAATGGGGATGTTTTCAGCAGACAACAGGGTCAGTCCTATAGCACATTTGCTGAACTGCTGCAATACATAATGTTTCATGTTTCAATAATTGTTCCTCTGTTATATCTTCAGAGCTCCAGATAAGCTTTTGGTGTTGTGGGTATTTTACCCATGCATTTTAAAATCATTGGGTATCAGTAATTCTATCTGGGTATTCAAATTTCTGTTACCCACTAGTTTTTACACATGTGGGTATTTAAGTTAAATATTTAAAAACACTCTTCATCTAGTCCCTGCAAACTTGTGTCGTGTGGGTTCGAGACCTTTATAGGACTAAAAAATACCACGATACTTCCACAAGAAAGTGTGATGGCAAATGATCATGATGTAACTGTCATTGTGGAGTTTGGCAAGGTTGACGGAATGTCCGTTTATAATTTCAAAATAAGCTGCTGATTTGCTAATCGAATACGCAGGGTTAGTTCACGATATTTTGATGATACGCACTAGTTTTATTTTTGTAGCGTATCTGTAATGTTCGTTGCATATTTGATACGCTTGGATTTTATTTTACTGCGTATGTCTGCATTTCTTTTACGCAAATACGCAGCTTATCTGGAGCTCTGATCTTTAAAGGGGCACTTGACTTCACTGAATTGGCAGTCCAGCAGAGTATGATTCAAGTCAGTGAAACACCACTTCTTGGTCTGCTGTCTCAAATTGTATGATGTGTATCAGTGTGACAGTAAATGATCACCCAAATGACAATGTCTTAGTTTTACACACCGCAGGAATTACAATGTCTAATCCTGGACAGGAAACTGGCGTAGTCTATGGAGAATAGTCCCCCGATTCTAACCATCTCTGGCAAACTGGAACATCTCTATTGTACTTCTACCCCAAAAATCTTTGTGACTGTTGCTTGACGTAACTTCTAAGTAATGCTTATCAAACAATTCACAATATTGGTGTGTGTGTGTGTGTGTGTGTGTGTGTGTGTGTGTGTGTGTGTGTGTGTGTGTGTGTGTGATAAATCCCTGATTAATGGTGCAGATTTGTTGGCATTTGTCTTGTAGACAGGTGTATTTGTCAACAATTCCCCATAAATGAAATTTAATGCATGTGCGGATATTTCACATAGAAAAACTTAAATGTAAAGAATAAGTTTTTCCTTTGCATGACACGTTTTACACATATCTAGTTCTGAATCATATGTATCACATAGCTTTTCTTTTTAGATCAAAAGATCACTGTAAGATAAATATGCTAGTATTAACTACAAAAAGGTTCAAACATATATTTCCCAATACTGAGTTAAAGTTGATGGATTTCTAATCGTCATTGCACTTACTTGCACCGACTTCAGATACCAGAAAAGAAAACAAGATTAACAATTCCAGCATTCTGCATTAAAATCACTTAGAAGCGTGAGTGAGTGAGTGAGTGAGTGAGTTATTATTTAACGTAACATGGGCAATATTTCAGCCATATCGTGACGAGAAATTACATTTATGATACATTTATGATACATATATTTAAACTGAATAAAAAGCTGTCAACGAAGGACAGTAGAATAACTAGAATATCACAGACTTGATTTAAAACTAATTGAGAATATTAAAAGGCAGTAAGCATTAATGAACATCACAATTTAAAAATGGGCTAGAAATCGTCAGCAACTGAAGGGAGATCACCATACTGGGGACCATGGGGACTTACAGTACTTTTGCTTCCTGCATGGACCCCGGCAGGATTTATATCATCCCTTCAGTCACTGGCGACAGTGTACAAGTTAAGCCTTAGATTAAAATAACGAAGATACTACGTTTAAAAGCCTAGTGTGCAGAAAAATACTTCGAATGATTTGGGACTTACATACCCTCTTAGGGGGACAATAATTTTACGCTACTTCAACCCCCCTCAAGGGTACAGCCACTAACAATCTAAGTTATGAATTTCGCACTACCAATTTGTAAAACAATACATTGAACACATCAAAATTTATGAAAAAGCTCTATTTCCTTTAAAAAACATAATATTAAACGAGAATTAACATCATTAAAAAGGTCCTTAATTGTTTTTACATTGAAATATTTATTCCTTGTGATGGAAAAATCAACACAGTCAAGCAGGACATGCTTGACCGTGATTCTTAGTAGCAGCCTTCAAAGCTATAGCACCTGTAGTCCACAATTCATAAGGGTTAAAATATCCACTGGGCAATTAGAAACTACTAAAATTTAATTTCCCTACATATAAATTAGATATATTATTTGGTCTAGTGACTAAAATGTAAATGATGTAAGTAAAATAGAAAATATACAAAAATTAAGTTTTGAATTTTCCGACAGACTTATTTTCGTGCAAATGTTATTTTCTAATTCAGCATCCAGAAGTGATCCTTCTCTTCAGTCAATAACAGACAAGAAATGTTCCCCTAGAAGACAGCTTGATGTATAGTATGTAGATATTTCCCCAAATATATGTTTGAGGTTGACTGCTACAAGCTTGGCTAGCCCGATCTGCCGCTCTGTCTGTCTGCACAGGCTTTGTGTATTGACTCAGCAAACATTCCGCCACGCAATTAGCTCCTGTGTATTGTGCACTCATGAATCATAATACACACATCTTTGTACATCACTCTAGAAATCTCTCACAGTAAAACAATAAATAGCATGTTTGCTTAGATGATAAACCCCAGTCGTTTACCGAATTGGACAGCTTTGAAGTTTATTTGAAAACTACTGTCAAACTTTAAAATAATTTATATTTCAATTAATGGCTTAAAACTGTGAAATGTTTTAACACAAACAAAGCTTTCAAAGCAATTAAGTAATGACTTTTGTCACTACTCGAATTGTAAATGATAATGAATAGTATTGATTAAGTTTAAGGGTTCGTCTTTACTTAAAACGACTTAAATATGAAGTTTTCGCCTTCAAGCGCTAAAACAAGTGGGATCAAAAGAACTATGCATGTTTAAATACAGTCAGCGCCGTCGAGAATAAAATTCAACTTTATTTGAGACGATCACTGGAGAAACGAGAAGTGCGTGCGTGGGATTTTGTGATTGTAACCAAGTTGTTGGGATTGTCACAAATCGTCGGCGGTTTACCGCAGTTAAATGTCAGTCGATACTGATCTAACTGACTACACTGTGGACATGACAAGTGGCTAGATCTAACAAGTTAGGAGTCGGACATGGAATGAAGACAGAAAGAGTCACGTACCTTTATCGGACCTAGTAAATCCGTTCACTACGAGCCACTCAACTCGCAGTGTCTCGGTAGACCAACCCGAGCGGAAATTATTGACGTATTTATAACAGGGCTTTCTATTGGTTCACCGACAATGAAAGGCAACCTCTGATTGGATATATGCATATTGACTTAGCAAACTTCCCCCACCCCTTCATAAAGGGAATCTTGTGGTTTTGAAATGGGTTAAGGCGAAGACAAATTAAACTTGCGCGTCAAAAAAAACCTCTATCTAACAGCGTCCCGGGACCGGTGATAATTGTTTCAAGCTTGATGTAGGGTATATGGTAAAATATACACAGTTGTATTAAATTTTTAAAAACACAACTTTTAAAACTTGTTTTACATTAAAATGTGACATCACTTAATCATATTAGTTATCATTATGTAGCACTGAAGATAAATAGAAACATTGAACAACGCGAATACGTTATGCTATATTTTAAATGTGTATGTGAGAAACATTTTATGCCGCTTTAACAGTATTTAATATTCACGCCAGGGACTCCAAGAAATGGCTACACGTATTAAATTCATGTTGGGAAGCGAACCCATTGCTTCATCTTGAAGAGCGAACGCTTCAGCCAGTTGGCTACCCCACCAACCCTTACAACTTGAGATATAACCAGGGTATAGATTGGAGCGTATCATCTCGCTCGCACTATGTACACTTATGTAGTTGTGGGATTGAGAGGGGCATTATTTAATCTTGTTTTTAAAAATGAAGTAATAATCCAAACGGTATACCGTTCCACTCCCAAAATAATCACTCCAGAGTAAATGAGTGAGTTTGACGGCCTTTTCAGGTGAGGTGAGGTGAAATGGGGTTTAACGTCGCGTCCAAGATTATTGCACTTATACGTGCATGCACGTGTGTGTGTGTGTGTGTGTGTGTGTGTGTGTGTGTGGTTGCTTGTATTAGACCGGACTGATGCCGATTTATAGTGCTAGCTCACTGAGATACCATGCCGCAGTTTAACATGAATACCCCACTCAGACACAGTATACTGACTCCGAGCCGACCAGTCCTTGTTTTAGCCCCTTAATGTCGAGCGCCAGACATGGTAACAACAAGTACCATCTTTTAACGTCTCTCTTCATTCCATAACGATTTATATATTTATCATAATGAAATGGAGATATTATACACTGAATAATCGAGGGTGACCAAAAAAGGCTTCTCTCATGTACCCATCTGCTGGTTCCAACTCGGAACTTTCGCTTAACAAACCAACGCATTATTTGTTATACATGACTATAGCGACATCTTCATTAACACTTGTAAATATATATCGTTTTTTTCAAGGTTTATTTATCTATCTCTTGTATATAACCAAACTAAGTGGCATTTAAAGAATCGAGTCTGGACCAGACAAACCACCCCTGAGGGTCCCACGCTATCGGCATGAGAGGAGACGCAGCTAAGTCTGGGTGCCTGACCTCTCAATACATTTAGTCGCCTCGTACGACAAGCATATAGTTTGTTTGATGTTGTTTAACGACGCACTCAGCAATATTCCCGCTCTATGACGGCGGTCTGTAAATAATCGAGTCTGGACCAGACAATCCAGTGATTGACATCATGAACATCGGTCCATGTAATTGGGATACGATGACATGCATCAACCAAGACAGAGAGCCTGACCACCCGTTCCCGTTAGTCGCCTCTTACGACAAGCATAGTCGCCTTTTACAGCAAGCACGGTGAAGACCTATTCTACCCCGGATCTTCACGGGTCAACAAGCATGTAGGGTGTCTGGACTAACCCCCAGGATGTTCATGGGGGTAACTTGATTCAAAAGAACTTTGCTGTAGTGTTTGATATAATTGTCAATTTAACTATACAGTCAATCAGTCAAATAAACCAGTCGCTTAGTTAAAGGCTAAAACATTGCCGATATTAACTCATATACCAAAATAAAACACTTTGACTTTGAAAATAAACATCAGACATTGGTAATGTGTTGTTAGTGATGAGTATTTGGCCATGTTTGCTTTTTATCAAGACATGCATGCCGTGTATTGCTATGAAATGAGCGACTAACGCATTTTGAAATGTTCCCCAGTTCAGCATCGATTGAGGGATTTATTTTATTTGTTCAATATTTTTTATAACTCAGCCGCGTGCAAATTTCCGGGTTGGAATTAGCTATTGATCAAACTGAACGATAGTGACGGGTTGTTACATTTATTTTTCTTTCATTAAACTGTTCATATTCGTCTTACTCGTAATCACAAGTGAACTGCATATAATCGCTTGCACTCATACAATCTGAGAACACGCCACTAACTTGTCCACTGTTCTCTGTGAAGGGGTGCTCCCAACATGCCCGTCGTTTTGATAAAACTAATAAATATTTACAAACACTATCAAAATAGAAACTTACAGCCATAGAAAGACAGAACGCTACTTGGAGTTAGCCCAGTTCGTGCACTATCTCGATGTTTGACAGACTTGAAATTAGCGATAATAAGCGGCAGGTAGCAACACGCGAATGGCAGAAAGCAGTGACCCGCCGACTGGGGGCCGAGTAGACACGACGGTCATTTGTCCCGAGGACCACCTCTATCTGTCTAGTCCGCAGGAAGATATACCTTGGTGTGGACTGGTGTCACCCCACCGCCTAAACAACACGACAGAGAACTGTAACGGACACGACAGAGGATTGTAACCAACATGGAAGAGAATTGAAACCAACACGCCAGAGAACTGTAACCAACACGACAGAGAATTGAAACCAACACGGCAGAGAACTGTAACCAACATGACAGAGAACTGTAACCAACGCGACAGAGAATTGAAACCAACACGCCAGAGAACTGTAACCAACGCGACAGAGAACTGTAACCAACGCGACAGAGAACTGTAACCAACGCGTAAGAGGATTGTAACCAACATGGCAGAGAACTGTAACGAACACGACAGAGAATTGTACCCAACATGGCAGATAATTGAAACCAACACGCCAGAGAACTGTCACCAACGCGACAGAGGATTGTAACCAACACGCCAGAGAACTGTAACCAACACGGCAAAGAATTGAAACCAACACGACAGAGAATTGAAACCAACACGGCAGAGAACTGTCACCAACACGACAAAGAGCTGTAACCAACACGACAGAGAATTGAAACCAACACGGCAGAGAACTGTAACCAACACGAAAGAGAACTGTAACTAACGCGACAGAGGATTGTAACCAAGACGCCGGAGAACTGTAACCAACACGGCAGAGAATTGTAACCAACACGACAGAGAACTGTAACTAACGCGACAGAGGATTGTAACCAAGACGCCGGAGAACTGTAACCAACACGGCAGAGAATTGTAACAAACACGACAGTGAACTGTCACCAACGCGACATAGACTTGTAACCAACACGGCAAAGAATTGTAACCAACACGCCAGAGAACTTTAACTAACACGACAGAGAATTGTAACCAACATTGCAGAGAATTGAACCAACACGACAGAGAACTGTAACCATCGCGACAGAGGATTGTAACCAACACGCCAGAAAACTGTAACCAACACGACAGAGAACAGTAACCAACAGAGAAAAGAACTGTAACCAACACGCCAGAGAACTGTAACCAACACGACAGGGAACTGTAACCAACACGACAGAGAATTGTAACCAACACGCCAGAGAACTGTAACCAACACGACAGGGAACTGTAACCAAGACGCCAGAGAATTGTAACCAAGGCGGCAGAGAATTGTAACAAACAGGGAAGAGAACTGTATTACTAAACATTCAATGTAGTGCAATTCAGGAAACACTTATATTTGTTTAGTATAATGAATGATACCACAATGCACTCTGTATCTTATGACAAAGGTCGTCCAGGTGATAGACGCGCTACAGTCCTATTGGCATTCCTCTTATTACAAGCCGCTTCCATGATAGAGACGACCCCTACATCCGCGACGTTTGCAATCATTGCTACTGCATGAACTATGTACAGCTTAATTACTCTTGTCTACTTCAATCACAGAGGGTACATGAGCGGGTGACACTAAAAGATGCGCACATAAAAGTCCGGTGTTCTCGTTCCATATGTGACGCAAGTTTGTCTGTGATTGTATAGTGTACTGCATAGGTCGGGTGCGAGACTGCCTATGTCTGGTTGTATATGTGTGTGAACTGTGCCTGTTTAAGGGGATATGTCTGTATGTGCGTTATCTAATGCTCGTGTCTGTATGTACGGTGTGTTATTTAAGGGTCGTGTCAGTATGTACTGTATGTACTCTCTGAGGGCTGTGTCTGTATGCACGGTGAGTTATCTAAAGGCTGTGTCTGTATGTACCCTGTGTTATCTAACGGCCGTGTCTGTATGTACGTTGTATTACCTAAGGGCGGTGGTTATAAGTACTCCTCGTTATTTGAAGTTATGTCTGTATGTACTCTGTATTACCTAAGGATCGTGTCTATGTACACTGTCTGTTTTCTATTGGTGTATCCTATGTACGGTGTGATTAACTGTTTTATGTGTTAACTATGTGTTAATTATGTGTTATGTGTTAACTATGTTTTATGTGAGTGTATCGCCTATGTCAGCATGACATGTTTTACCGCTAATGAAACGCACTTCCGTGTGACAAGTTTGGAGAAAGAACATATAAGGAGTTGATTTACACCTCTGAGTCAGCGTAACCCTCCGGGGGAGGGGGAGGGGCGGAGGCGGGGTGACAGCATGACCCCACATGTGTTTGCCTTCAGAATTCCGCGTTGAACAAAATGTCGTCACGTGTATTGAGGCTGGAAGAGCCAAAAGGTTAATCAAAATAAGTAGATTTATGCAAGCACATGTTTATCAGATGTTGGAGAACTGTGAGAAACCTTACGTTGCACATTACTTCAAACACCATTCATCCACCCGATCCTCTTTCTGGATCCCGAGTACCGAGGACGCAGTACTTGGAGTGAGTAAGTGAGTGAGTGAGTATGGGTTTACGCCGCTTTTACCAATATTCCACAATATCGGGTGACACCAGAAATGGGCTTCACACATTGTACCCATGTGGGAAAATGAACCCGG